TTATGGGAGGCCGTTTTTATATTTTATGGAATATATCTGTTAGTTATGTTTGGAGAGGAAAATTGTTCAAATAAAAGTTACTTCTAATATTATTATCTGTAATTTTTGTTTTATGTAAAAATTTTTTGAAATGGTCCGTATTCGAGAAATTTGACAAAATGTGCAAAATTCTGATTTTTATTATGAAAGTTTTTGAAATAAAAATTGTTTACGATATCGATCTCTATAATTTTTGTTTATACATGATTTTCCTAAAATGGACCGTAATGAAAAAATTGTAGGAAATTAAAATTTTTCAGTATTTTCGTTTTCCATGAATATCTATAGAAAAATGTTTCGAGGTAGATGTATGTGAACAATGTATATATTTAGTTTATCCTCTAAACATTTATATAACTAGATAGGAAAGTCATGTGTTGGACACATCAGATTTTTAATTGTGGGTACGTGAGTAAATTTGTTAAGTATCGAAATCGAGATAACATCGATCTTAATTTTTTACAGATATACCGGATGTGGATGTCCCATTTCATGAAATTGTCTAGGTAAACTCCAAGGTACTTCGTGCTTGTGGCTACTTTTATAGTGAAATGCTGATTGTTGCTCGAGAAATTTAACATATTAAAATTTGGTTCTGAGGATAAGTTACAATAAAAAGGTATGTAGAATGTCTTGTCCATATTTAATGTAAGTAGTCTATGATTTGATGTCAAGGAAGTCTAATTCTACTTTTGTTTTCAGGTTCTGCCATGTATCTGCGGTGTAAAAAATGACTGTATCATCAGCAAACCCTATTATATCTCCTTGAGATCTTCTATCTTTTTCTGCACAGATTTATTTGATACGGTCATGAATCCGTGATGCACGGAAAATCGTTCACTGTAAATATAATTATTCAACACAATAATTTTTGAGCGATCGGGATAAGATACAGTGTTGAATAGTGACCACTCCTTATTTTGCAAATTTTATTAAGTAGGTCGATAAACAATGGCTCCTATTACAAGCAATAAATATGATAATGCATCCTGTATAATATTATTAGATCGTTCAAATACCTCGTTAAGTATAATATTAAAAGCTTAATGACACTTTTATGCGCTAATTTTATTATTTATTGAAAAGATTGGGGTCACGTAATGCACATACCATTCTAATAACTGTATCTCAATGTCACATAATAGAAAAGTACAATCGAAATTTAGGAATGGAATACTATTAATTTATTTTTAGAGGGAAACTAGTACTGAAAGCTTAGTATCAGCAATACAATAATTAGAGTAAATTCAAATTCTGAAGTACCTATATTTTTTTGATGTTTTATATTCTTGACCCTTGGTAAAGTAAGAAGATAATAGACACCTGAAAGTAGCTATAATAGACAAGGATAACCCTTACGGTAAGATAACCACCGAAAGAGAAATCCTTTTCAAAAAGACACTGATGGGAGAGCTGGTCAAAACAATCTTGTCCGCCTCCTGCAGCAAAACCAAGCCACCCACATTCAGGTCTTGGTCGTACTCTGGTGAAATCATCAGAGTAACCTGCGACGATGACCTGACATTGGAAAGGCTAAAAACCAAGGTACCGACCATAAAAACATGGGAAGGAGCAACACTCGCAGTAGTAAGGATGGACGAGTTTCCCAAGCTCACCAAAGCCTCTCTCTGGATCCCAAGCTGACCTTGACGAGAAAGAGGTTGTGCTCAGGCGACTTGAGAGGCAAAACTCAAACTTGCATGTGGCAAAATGGTGCTCCTTCCACAATGAAATCAAAAAAGACCCTAAGGATCATCTGTTCGGCATCGGAGATGAAGACATGGGAACCCTAAAGGCCAAATCAATGAGGTTGAGCTATGCGTTCACTTCATTGATTATTAGGCCCAAGGTCGAAAAAGAGGCTGAAGCGGGGCCCAGTGAAGACTCCTTGGTAAAGGACTCTCTTCCCTTCCAATTTACGCCAACGGTGGAGGACGTCGAGCCAGAAAAAATGGTAATCGAAAACTCCGAGGAGCCACAAGAGACCACCCTCTCTCCACTTTCGGAGGAAAGGATGGTCGAATAATAAACCACCTTGCTCCAATTTTCAACGTTCATACAATGTAACTTGCAGCACAAAAGGGTGGCTACGGCATTTTTATACCGCCGCCTTGATGAGCTGCAAGATACAGTAGCACTCGTCCAAGAACCCTGGATAATAAAAACCAAAATTTTAGGTCTTAAAAATCTAAAAGGTTCAATTTTTATTCAGCCCTTCATCTAGTTGCTGGCCGGATAGAAAGATCCCTGATGTGGCGACATCTACGAAATAACTCAAATCTAATAACATAATCTTGTTTGTCTCTATGCAAAATAGAACTACCCCAGTTTTCAAACCTGTATCTCAAAAAATGGCTTCTTTATTAACAAAAATATATATATATTTTTCCAACTTTAACAGCCTGTAGATTAGAAAGGAGCGATCTCAGACCCATTGTTGTCAAGTAAAATATTTTTATTTTTGCCTTCTGAATCTACAGTTACAATTTGACTCATTACTTATGACTCACCCTGTATATACCGATATTTATTTTTTATTTAAAAGCTAATTAACTACCAATCTGTTGTGACAGAATGATTTTCAAAGAAAAACGATCAAAATTTTACTTTATTCAACCATGCAGATAGAACAACCTCTAAATATATTTAAAATATACTCAACATTATTATAGATCGTTATTTGTCATTCAATATAACCATTATTCTAAAGTACAATTATGACTTTATCACTGTATTATAACCACACCTACTCGTTTATATTTTTAAAAAATATAAAGAGTATTTTAATTCGTTTCCTATCTAATAATACATACCCACATAATGAAATTATTACGTTAACAAGACATTGTTAAAATCTAGTTAAGTGCACTATTTTTGCAAGGTGCACTCCTAAATGGCTTTTCGAACGCTAATCAGGTTAATTTTCATGGCATAAATTAGACCTTGGTAATTTGGCTATCAAATAATTAGAAATTGAGATTTGTTAAGTTAATGAGAGTTTAAACATGACATAATTGGATTTGGATCGGGTACGTGCAGTTAATTTAAAAAAATTAAATAGGAATAAAAATTAATTCTCATGTATAAGTCCATACCACTTTCTGTGCTATCTTGCGGAAATGTATTTTCTGTTACATTGGTCAATTCATAATAGCCTCTCATTTTAGTGTCTTCTGGCGGTAGATTCAAACTGTCAACAAGGCTTAAATTAGCATTGGTAGCAAAATTTAAAGTTGGTTCTCTAAAATCATCAAAATAATGTACACAAATGATAACTAGATCCTCGGTAGGTTTAGATTATTCCAAAGAATTCGAAAGCACAGCTTTTCTAGAAACATTTTTGTCATCTACAATTTTAAGGTTTTCGAAAGACTTTGTAGGTTTAGATGAATTTAAGCCATTCAAAAACATAGCTTCACTAGAAACATCAGAATCTGTTGTTTCTAGGTTTCCCATTCATGTGAAAAAAAGTTTATACATACCTCTATAATAAGCCACAATTAATATATGAGTTAATAAGAAAACAACTTGGTCATAAATGGATCACTGTAACTTAAACTTTTATAAATTGTTTCTAGACTAGTATTGATAGGCATCTAAAGGTAATAAGAGCATTTGACATTTTATTACAAAAATGTAATTAAAATCGTCTCAAAAATTAGTCCAGCAATATTTCACAGCTGCTACTGATTGCTGGAAATTGAGGAAAATCTTCGATTCAACCAAAACCGCAGCCTACGGTGTTGGAAATCGATTGGGGACAATCACACTATCGAATGCCTGTAAAATTAAAGTCTCCATATATAAATTTGCTTAGTTTTTTAATTGTTTATTTAAATAAAGCTATAAATATGACATATGTCTATTAAATAGATAATTTTTAAGATTTCTACAACCACAATACGCGGTAAATTAACTAATTGTTTCCTTTCCAATCCGACAAGTTAGCAAACTAGCCGTGAGCGCCATATGTCAGCTTTAATCATTAAATCACCGTATATACAATTAGTTCCAAGCGAGTAATGCCGAACACACTACACCGTCCTCATCATTATCATCGTTCTTACTTTCACTGAAATAATGAGAGCAAACTAGGATACTCTATGTTATGTGGTAACTGCATACACTCTCGATTTTCAATACGACTGCCGCGTACGGTGCTCGTTGTAAATATGGGAAATTTATTGATTTTAATTTTGTGAAAACGATACAAAGACGAAAGGTATTAAGACTGTTTCAAAATGGGACATAATATATGATGATAAGAAGACTGAACATATCTGAAAGCCAACTCTTCCGTGGAGTCTGCGACTATCGTTACAGTATATAGATCTTTCTGCTGTATCTAGCTTTGGCATTGTTGGAAATAACAATGTAGAAGAATAACATTCAAACATAATAATGATTTTATCCTTTTAACAGTGCTGCTCCTGAAGTGGCGCTGGGAAACAGTAACAAAGCCTACACAGAACACACACGATTGAGAATTTAAAAACACAAAGTTGAAACTGGCATATTAGGTATATACACCTAGGCCATAAATAAAAAATATAATATCTTATAATAAGTACCTCTGCTGGTATTATTAGTTTTTTTTTTGACATTGAATTTTATGACTCCTTTGTACAATCAATTATTATAACAAAGATATTAATTTTATGAGGATTTCGTTACTAAATGGTTTAATATTTACTTAGATACCTACTTAAACGTTGCTAATAGTGTAATGCATCCTGTTTTGCATGAATATTTTAATTGGGCTGCTATTTTTATGTGTTTTGCCATTATTACAGATAATTACGAAAACTTTGCATAAAAGAGAACTGCTTATCTGTCTAATAAAATTTCAGCAGTCATACTATTTGTTTCAGTGGCATTTGAAATCCAATCTTACCTCACGTTTCCTTATTAACGCAATAATAAAACATAACTAACTACTAGAAATCATTTATTTAATAAAACATAGATAAATATACTAATTAACACAGTTTCTAAGTAATAATACTGTACGCTTCCTGGTTTTAAGGAAATTAAGATGTAAAAGTATAAAATGACGAAATGGAGTATTTCTTTTTGTTTTTAAAACAGCGCATAACAAGCATGTGGCAATCTTGTGATAACAAAAGATTTAACAATTATACCTTATTCATGTAATATGTAAATATATTTAATTAATGTTAAACCAATATATCGCAGAAGACTAGGACAAAATTTTGGGACGCATTACATATTAATTGAACAAGGTATAATGGTATGTATAACAATTCTATTTAGTGGTACCCATGTCCACCGTAATCGCCGCCACCATAATCTCCACCTCCATAATCACCACCGCCATGGACTTCTTCGTGGTGGTGAGGAATGTGGACGGGAACAGCTACTGGTACCTTTACGGGGTATGGTACCTCTTTTTCTACTGGATAAGGTACTTCTTTGATGACTGGGTAAGGTTTGTCGACATGTACCTGGAATAATAATTAAAAAATTGTTAGCTCCTAAAAAAAAAATTTGAGCTCCTAGGTAAAAATGAATACGTTATTTGAATTCAGGACATCAAATTCATATAAAATCAGCTCAAAAAAAATCGACACCAAAACAGCTATTCCCCTGTGATAATTTATTAAAAATTAGAAAACGAGGTCAAAGAAAAACCTTTAGTATAGTTCTGACTTTAAAGTCCGACATTAATTTTTTCTAATTATCTGTCATTGACATAGTCTGTGCAGAAACTAGACCGTATTATTTCCTTCAATAAACTCAATTAAAAAACTGGAAATTATTACAAGTTCACTATAAAATAATAATAATAATAATTAATAGTGTTTTAATTTAACAGAATTATATTTAATTATAGAATTTAACGATACTGACCCCTTGAAAAGTGTTTATTCTGAAAGTTGAGACACATTTATAAATATGCAGCCTAAAAACACAATATCCTAAACAAATTTACAGAATCAATACACAAAAACTGGCTTTTTAGCATTTTTTTTTTTTTAATATTGAATTGTTATTAAAAATACAAAATATTAATTTTTTGTTTAGCTTTTTTCGGTTATTTTGAACAACCTATTGTATAAATGTTTGGAAACATTTTTTTATATGTGTGTCTCATTAATAATGGAACACAGAACAACTGAAGATTCTCTGATTAAAAATAAGATGATTAAACAAAACATGCTTAGATACAGGGTGTTAAAGTTTACAATTAATAATAGCTATAATAATATACACCTATCAGCAAAATAATCAGATAATAACACCTGACCAGTGGCGTACAATTCGAGTAAGTAACACTTTCATCCCCTCTAAATTTTACATCACAGTCCAAAATACTTATTTGGACGTTTTTTAAATAAATCTTGTACTCTTCTTAGACATTCATCATTTTAATTTTGTAATTTTTTATAAATTTCCAATAAAAGTACATGATTTATTTAAAAAAACATGAAAAAATTCAAAATTATAGCCTAAATAAGTTTCTGTGGAGTGGCGGAAAATTAATAAGGAATAAAGATGTTACTCACCCATTTCGTACGCCACTGGTAAAGTTTATTTAACTGATTTTTTGCTGATTGATGTATTTTGTGACACCAAAAAAGTTTGCTTAATGTAATTTATTAAAAAAATCAAAATTAGAAAATTAAAAAAAAAATAAAATGAAAAATATCCAACTTTGAGTGTGAATATTTCGAAAAACAGTCACTTTATTTAAAAAACATCAAAAAGTATTAAAGTATAGACCAAATAAGCTTTTGGACAGTGGCGTAAAATTTAGATGAGATGAAAGTGTTACTTTTACATGTTGTACGCCACTGGTAAAGTTAATTTAACTGATTATTTTATTGATAGGTGTATCTTAAGACATTAACCATGTTTACTGAATTTAGTAAAATTATAAACAAAAATAAAAATTTTAGTAAATAAAAATTGTTGAATTTTCAAAACCATCTTGTATTTCGGAAATCAATAATATTTTATCTAAGAATGTTTGGTTAAATCGTCTTATTTTTAATTAGTGAATCTTCAGTTGTGTTTAATGAGATTTTGGGCTGAGTATGAACATCTGGGGGGGTACTTTATAGGTGGTCATTTTTATATTTCATGGAATATATCTGTTATTTACGTTTGAAAAAGAAAATTCTTCAAACAAAAGTTACTTACAATATTATTATCAATATTTTTTGTTTTTTACAAAATTTTCCTAAAATGGTCCGTATTCGAGAAATTTGACAAAATGTAAAAAAATTATTTTTTATAAAAATTGTTTAAATAAAAGTTATTTGTAATATAATTCTCTATAATTTTTATTCTATACTTAATTTCTCTAAAATCGATATTCGAGATATTTGAGAAAATGTGTAAATTATTTCTAATTTTGTAGAAAAATCAAAAACGGATAAAGAAAAAAAAACATTAAATTTTAAACATAAGTTTTATTTCGGCCTGACGTGAAATGATTAGATTTTGGACAATGTCGGAACATCTGGGGGGTACTTTATGGGAGGCCGTTTTTATATTTTATGGGAGGCCGTTTTTATATTTTATGGAATATATCTGTTATTTATATTTGGAGAAGAAAATTGTTCAAATAAAAGTTACTTCTAATATTATTATCTATAATTTTTGTTAAATGTCAAATTTTCCTGAAATGGTCCGTATTCGAGAAATTTGACAAAATGTGCAAAATTCTGATTTTTAAAAAAATTGTGAACTAAAAGTTGTTTGTGATATCGATCTCTATAATTTTTGTTTATACATGATTTTTCTAAAATGGACCGTAATGGAAAAATTGGAGGAAACATGCTAAATTAAAATTTTTCAGTATTTTCGTTTTCAATGAATATAGAAAAATGTTTCGAGGTAGATGTATGTGGAAAATGTATATATTTAGTTTATCCTCTAAACATTTATAGACGCAACGCAATAGGTTGTACAAAATAACCGGAAAAAGCCTATAATAACTAGATATTAAAGTCATGTGTTGGACACATCAGATTTTTAAAATAAAATAAAAGAAAAAAAAGAAAAAAAGTTCATTTCACTTTTACCCACCCAAGAATCGAACTCAAGTCTTCCGTGTGGAAGGCAAGAACGCTGTCCACGGGACCACCTATTCTTTTATTTTTGTTGCTTTAATACTCGTAATTAAATTGATTTGATAGTTTTATTTAAATTAACAAATTATTTATAATTATAGACGAAATATGTATGTTTAATCTCAATAACTAAAGAATATACTGACAATTAGTTTAACAGAATTGTCATTTATTTAAAATTCTAAAAATAATAGCAGTCGGTTGATCAAAATATGAATGGTGATTGGTGGATTTAATTTTTTTTGCAGTGTTCTCACTACCTTGAATGGATATGAAATATATTCGTTCTCTTGAAAGCAATAGCATACTTTTTCGTTTTGCAATCTATGCGTAGATAAGCTAATATCCATGTGGATGTAGAAAAAATTAATATTATTTCGTGTATCTAATGTAATATAATAAAAAATTAAATTAGAATGATCCCTTGAAATGTGTTATGATTTCTTTCAGCATTTCGTGTACCTACATTAATATTTCCTTTTTATTTTTAGCTTCAAAATAAAACATACACGATTCAAAAAAAGATGACCCCTGTTGTTAGGTTAGGTAAAGTATCTACTGAAAAATATGTAAGGTTAAGTTAGTAAAAAATTATTGTGATATCATCCGTATTCGAGATACAAGATGTTAAAATTTCAAGATATTTTTGTTTTTTTTTTTTTTTTTTTTTCTTATATTTTTTGGAATATTTAGCTCAAATTTGGAATCCAGGATACGCTGAGAAGGGCTACATCTTTGAGCATGCCAAATATTTGTAAAAATATACAAGGTGATATAAAATATAAAATGAATTTTCTGTATTCTCATTTGAAATCGTAAATTTTTATAAATTAAAAAAAAATAACAAATAAAAATCCTAAAATTTCAACACCCTGTATCTCGAATACAAATGCCGTTATTACATTTTTTTTAATTACCTAACTCCAGGTATTTTTCAATACTATACCTATCCTAGCACCGGGATTACATTTTTTTGAAACACCCTATATATTCAATACAAAATATAAAAAATATATACCTTAACTGGCACTGGAACAGGTTTCTCTACTTCATACGGTACTTTCCTCTCTACGGTGTAAGGTTGAGGTACTGGTACTTTGACTGGGTAAGGTACAGGTTTAGGTACATGAACGGGGTATGGTTTATCGATTGGTACTTTGACTTCGTAAGGTACTGGCTTGTCTACAGGATATGGAACGTGTTTCTCCACTGTGACTGGGTATGGTTTTGGTACATGTACCGGATAAGGCCTGTCAATGGGAATTTTAACTTCGTATGGTACTTTCTTTTCAACGGTGTAAGGTTGAGGATATGGTACTTCTACTTTAACTGGATAAGGCACCTTCTTGATTACTGTGTAAGGTTGTGGAATTGGTACTTTGACTGGTACTGGAATTTTCTTTTCTACAGTGTAAGGTTGAGGTACATGTACTTTAACTTCGTACGGTCGTGGTACCGGTACTTTTACTTCGTAAGGTACCTTTTTGATAACTTCGTAAGGTTGTGGAATAACCACAGGTACTTTAATGATTTCCTTGACATGCACTGGTACCTTTTTGTAGACAGTGTAGGGTTGCGGTACCGGTACCTTAACCTCGTAAGGTACTTTCTTTTCTACCGTATAAGGCACATGCTTGATTACTTCGTAAGGAGTGGGGATCTTTTTTTCAACGACTATGGTTTTGACGTGTTCATGGTGTTCATGGCCGCCATGACCACCATAATCACCGCCTCCAAAATCGTGACCCCCAAAATCGTAACCACCACCTCCTCCGTGGTCGCCTAGGCCGTATAGGCCACGTTTCTCTTGTTTTTTGCTCTCCTGCGTTACCTCCTTCTTTTCGGAGTCTGCGGCTAGAGCCAAGCAAAAGCAAACGCTGATGACACTCTAGAAATAAGAAGAAAACAAACTTTATTTAATAATATAAAAATTTATTTAAAAATACAGGATTATATGTAAATATATTCAGATCATTGTGAGGTATAATCAATTTCTTTACACCTATAAATAAAAAAGGGTTCAAATTAAAAATGGGAAGTATTCCAATAATTATTTGTTATATATTCTTTGAATTATTTAACAGGGAATTTCACCTTTTTTCTGGTTTCCTAAATAGAACATTTATATGATCAATATTAGGTAATAAAAAAATATTGTTCTTTAAATCTTTTGATTATGATTTTTTTTATTTATTAAAAAGTATTAATGAAATGAATATATTTATGTCATTAAAAATTGCTTATTTTAAACCCTGTATTTTTATACGATAAGTTTGGAATGTGTTTAGTGATTATTATATATGATATACTAAAAAGATTCACTTTTTAAAATTAATTATTTCTATATTTAAGTTACATAGAAGTAATTCAAGATTTTAGAACTCTAGTTTTGTTAATATTACTATTTTTAAATATCAATATTTCTTATAAAAAATTATATGATTTAACTATTTTTTTTTATAATAATAAATTTGTAAAAGAATATTATATTTTGCCTATAAATATGAAAAAAAGATTTTTTTTTTAATTGAATTAATTTGAAACAGAATTTAATAAAAACACTGAGACTAAGAGCTTTTTCAAAATAAAAACATAAAAAAATAGAATTCACTGTTCACAAATTTCGAAAAATAGTCCTTAAAACACTGCAAAATCCGAACGAGTATCCTTTTATATATAGGGGATTCACTAAACACCACCAAAAATAACGCACAAACACTAGATCTCTTACCAATGCCTTCATGATGGCTCTCACAGAATCGGAAGGCTTTGTGTGTTTGTAATTCCTACTTGTGGTTTATATATCTCCGCCATGAACACACTTTCTATGAAACAGACGTTTACCACCTCGATCGTATATTTCACTTTACTTCCATATCCTCTACTTATGCAATGTCGTGAGCATCCAGCGTAGCCGTAGATGAAGAGAAGAGCGGTCTTCTATAAGAAATTGTATCGTTTGTACAGGGTGTCCTTGAGTTTAGTGTATTTTTCGTAAATTATGTTCTTGTTAGATTTGGGATTTTATAAATAAGGTAATAGTTTAATAGTTATAAGTTACAATGAGTTACAATAATAAATAAGTTACAATAAAGTACAATAATGGAAACCAATTATATTAATAACAAGCACCTAGGTGAGAACACCTGTATGTGCTGACAAAAATTTAAATTTTATTTTAATTATATTTAATGAATTATAAAGGAAATAAAAAAAAATACCATTTTTTTTTTTTAATAAAAAATAAAACTTGAACAATTTATGCAAGAAACAGAAAAAAAAAACTATTTAAAAAAAATCCATGTATTAGATCCGTTATTCTTGGAATATTCTGATAAACATTGCATTATTTTGGAAAATGTATATTTTGCTAACTTTACAGAATTTTTTATATTTGTTTAATAATTTTATATGAAGAGGTAGAGCGTTATAGAACTTTGTCCCTAAATAATTTACACAGTTATTAAAAAACTCACTATTTGGTTTTGGTACTTTAATGCACATGTTCGATGCAGTTCTAGTGCTATGTCTATGTTCTAAAAGGTTTTTTAAAAATTCATTTTTTGTATATAACAACACACTGCGTGAATATATAAACATCTAACATTGCTAATTATATCATTATATAAAGTTATGGTGAGACACAATCTATTTCTTTTATATATTAACTTCAAAATTTTGTTTTGAATACATAAAAGTACCCTTATCCGGTTTTATAAAAATACCTTCATCTTCAATAAAATTTGTCTTTTTAAATTTTGGTAATTTTTTATTTCTTGATTTTGTTTTGACAAAACATGAGTTTTGATTGAAATAGTTATCTGGTTAAGATCTCTTTTCATTTAATTTGTTTATTAAATTTTCTTTTACTTCTTCGTTACGTTGTTTAATTTTGTTATACATCTGTTTACTAATTCGTTTATGATCTTGCACATACTTAAAAATTATTAAGTGATCGTCTAAATCAAAGGGCTTTGGATTGTCCTTTAATTATTTCAAATGGCATGAACTTTGTCACTCAATTTATTTATTATAACAAAATAAAGATTTTTTAATTAGTCGATTGGTGTGAAATGTTTGTTTTCTTCTTGTAAACATCTATAATGTTCTAGTAGACTTGAATGAAACCGTTCCAGTGGAGATTTTGAATTACTATTTTTTTGCGGTAGTGATATGTAGTTGGATATGGTGTAGTATACAAAAATCTTCTAAATAGAATTTTTTTAATTCTGTTCCACTTTCGGTAGTAATTTTTTTGTGGTAGTCCGTAATGTGAAATTCCTGTTATACAATTTAGGGGATAAGCCTGACCATATCGCGAAAAAGAATCAAATATAAGCAAATAAGATTTATTAGAAATGTAAAATATATCTAAATGTATGTATTCAAAGGGTTTTAAAGCAGTGGGTGTCAAATTAAATTTTAGTACTGGTGGATTTCGATTATATTTATTCTTTAAGCGTGTTTGACTGTTATTAATTAAATTTTTAATTTCATTAGCCATTCAAGCCAATAATATCTGGAACTAGTGCTTAGCTATTTCATTTCATTTGTACTACAAAGTACAATATATTTGGTTTTCGAAAAATTCAAGGATCAGTATATTTTGAAATTTATTAAAAAAATTGATAAGAAGCTGTATAAAAATTCTAATAAAATACATATCTTTTGTGCTTTTAAATTTACTTATTTTAACTAGAGAAATTATAAATACTCCATTCGAACTTATCTTTAAATTATATTGCAAATAATTAATGTATTGCATACTTTTAAATTTACAACAGAATTTTATCGTATTTCATCTATTTACTAAAATATCCATTTTCACCTTCCTTAACATTTTTGGAATATGTTTAAATGTGTTAGTCCTATCCACATCCCCAACTAGCCATTCATAAAAGTGTATTTGTTGTGAAGTTCTCATCATCTATTGTATAGTCCAGGAGACAGTGACGATTTTCGGTATTTATTTTCCCAGTCAGCAAGCACGAATAGAGAATTGTAGGATTAGCAATTCTAAGCAAAATTCATAAATATTTAGAGGGGGGATCCGATGGGCTGAGGCCGAAAATGCGTCAAAACATACGACAACACGGCCCTTTTTTTCCATTGATAAAAATAGTTTTAGTAGTAAGAGATGTACTGAAGTTAAGTAAAAAAATAGTCTGATTAATCTGTATGGATAATATATTTGGCAAGTGCATAAAATACACTTTCAAACGAGTTATGTACACAATTATTTCTACGACCACAATTATTTAAAGAATCTTCCAGGTGTTTTGTATATTAAAGTGTACGCATATGACACATAAATAAAATCTTATATCACAATGTTTCACCAGTTGGTTTATTTATAGAAATTAAACATAATAATTGAAGATATTACAGAAGAAAATAGGGAAATAAATTACATTTCCTTTTACATTTTTATATAATAATTGTTTTATTTAGAATTCACGAATCACTTATTATAATTATTGTTAGTTTCGTTATGTCAAATCATTTATACTAGAGGTGTGAGGAAAATACAGTGAACTGTGGAACGCCAGTATCGTTGGATGCGCGTGGTAGAAATGGTCCTATAATACTGCTAAAAACATAGCTAAATTTTCATGGAAACACTGTACTTTTGACATTTGCGATACTCCGACGCACATGCATTATTGATGTAATCTCATGATTTTACAGTAATAGTTTTTGCAATTTTAGTGTGATTTTTAGGTTATTATGGTTATTCATTTTATTTGGTTCTGATCTTTTGCGCTTTTAGAGTATTTGTCTTTTATATAGTTTTTAATTTGAATTTTAATATTGTGGTCTATTTATATTTGATTGCTGCTTTTCGACTAGTGCTTTATTCTTTTTGTGTTAAAATAAGCTTTATAACCATTAAGTACATGCTTCTAGTTGATATCTACCGAATCGTCATCGGGTGCTTGCAACAATGGGAAAAAGTGTATGGTTTTTTTGGTGTAAAGTTAGACGCCTTCATTTTTCAGGTAAGTTATTTGTAGTTATTTTTTACTTAAAAGGATAGCAATACGTCCTGGTTCGGGGTGTGACTTTTTGGGTTTTATCTATCTGAGCCAAATTGTCGGCTAAGTGTCCTCTTTTAGGGCACCCAGAACCGAAAACTATATAGGTATATAATATGTTTTTTTTTTAATTATTTTTTAATATGTATGCAGCTTGGATGAGGGCTTTAGGAAGAGATCCTAAGACTGAACACTGACTGCTATAAATGGCGTTTTTAGAGCACATTTCATAGTAAGTGATTTTATTCTAGCAGCAATGAGGAAACGTTTAAAAAACATGCTGTACCAGCTATTACTTTAAGACCTCGTCTCTTTAAGTTATTATTACTTCATTCTAATGCATATATTAAAATGGTTTTTAACGTATGTCCTTATGATTAAAAGATGTAGGTATTTTAGTTATGTTATAATAGAAATATATGATACTTTGTATTGACTGACCTACTGGCCACTGGTCATTCCACTTTTACTCCCTTTTTTCATAAATTATCAAATTATTTAAAAACAAATACATACCTAGCTATTTTCTGTAAATTACATTAAAATTTTAGTATTAATACTTTACTAATAAAAATTCAGTTAATTTATCTTATATATATATACACAACGGAAGAGTTAATTGGATTTTCTCCTTGTTGAGTTTCAAAAATAGTAATTTAACATGATTTAAAAACAAATACATGAAATGGGCAAAATAGGCCTGCAAAGGCACTTTGTAAACAATCTCACTTGTATCGATGTGACGTAATGCGCGAATTCAATCTGGTTTACTTTTGTTAATAGATTGGCGTTCCATTTTAAATATACAGTTCACCGGGAATAGATTATTTAAATATACACGGACCGGGAAAACAAGTACGAAAAAATCCACTGGCTCCTGGACTAGTACTGTATCGAAGGAATTTTTATGAATGAAACAATATACGACCCTCCACAATTGCGGTGTACTCTACTTCCGCTGTTGTCAGATATTATTTTTTTTTTTTGACAATTTAAAGACCTAACAGTAATTCAAGCAAACGCAATAACATTACTACAGTTAAAAACATCGCAAACTTGGCATCAATATTTTAATTTTATCCAAATATTGCATTTCTGTCGAGGATCATCCGCGTTGACTTCAGAAATTGTGTAATCTGTATTTTTTATATATATATATATATATATATATATATATATATATATAACTATAGTTAAAAGCACGTAAACTTGGCATCAATGTTCAATCCGATTATTGAGTTTCTACCGCGGACACCACCGTTCATTCTTCAAAAATTTTGTAAATAATCCTATCTGTCTTGGTTATATATCTGTGGTCCTATCCAGTACACTTCAATATGTACTTAACCAATGCGCAAGCGCGTGGGGCCTTTTTTTAAAAGATGGCCACCCTTAATTTTACGTGCTAATGAAAATGACATTTTCTATCTCCTTTATCCATGTCTGTGCTACTGTCACATACTTTGATTACTATACGGGGCAAGAGAGAGGTCCGACACGCCCAACATAGGGCGCGGCCATTTTGATTCCTATGACACAGTTTATAGCTAAAAAATCAGATCGCTCACTCTGCGTCGGCACTTTTGATCTCAATGTTCCAGTTACGGGTACGGTGGTGTAGCGGTCTAACGCGCTTATATTCATTTATAAGCAAGTTTATGTGTCAGAGACTGCTGGGCTTCGAATCCCAGACCAGACCATGTGGATTTTTAATTAAATTGCATGGTTCGGTATAGGATTTGATGTGTGCCGTATTAATAGAAATTCAATTTCTGTTGATATGACATGCAGATTAAAAAAATTTGCCATACATTACCGTCTCGATGATGGTGGGTGAGGTTTTCCGGGTTTTCCTCACCTGTAAGTCAAATGGCACCAT